CAGGCACATTCCTAAGACAGAGGCAGTTGAAAACAGCAGGTAACAATTATGCTGTCTTGTGAAACATTCTGAGACAAAATCATACCCTTAGCAGCTCAATTAAAAATTTCATGAAATTAAAACAGAACAATGCGGATACTAAACTTTTTAAAGTAGAGTTTGTGTCTACTTTTTTTCAGAAAGACGTTTCATCAACTGAACAATCAGTGTGTTATTAAACAAAAGTACAATCTGAAAAGTATGATCTGATGTGGCTTCTTGTCACAGAATGAGGCGGAAAATATGTTCCATAGGCTACTTCAAAAAGAATACATCGATTAGCAATGGATTATAAATATACTTCATTATTATGAAAATACCAGAGATGACTTGAATAACACAGATAAACTATATTGTCGCAGACGAGTGTTAATTGTCTTTGTTTATCATTCAAAACGTTTATATGTTCCGTTTACTCAGTTGCAGCTATAATAGCATGTCTTTGTCCATATAAGGGATTTCCTGGTGGGTCATGAGTTCCCTACTTCTGTGACTGGATATGTGGATTTTCTGTACGAGGGCACCCTCTGGCGTCTAGTATGAATGAAAGACATCGTATAGTGCTAATGGCCAATCCATCAATTTTGGGGGAATTTTTATTTTATTTTATTTTTTTAGTAAGTATCGGTTCAGGCACCATATAGGCACCAGAACCGTATCGATTTGGCACCGGTATCGAAAAAAAACCAAACGATACCCAACCCTAGAGAGTAGCCGTAAGACAGGAAAAGATTACCATCCATCCACTATGCCCTGTCCTCGATTAGGTCATCCCGTTCAATATTTAACCAGTCACAGTCAGTGAGTGCGATGAGGCCTGCTACATCAGAACAGGTGTCTTTTCAAAATCATTTAGCATTCTGCTGTGATGGGAGGATGAACTCCTGAATTGACACAAAAAAGGAGTGAAGGAGGAGTGAAAATCAATGTCACTCACAATGGCGCACACAGGTAATGGAAACATCATTCACTCTTCCAATCAGACGCCTCGCCTGAGCAGAAGAGGAAGTATGGGTATAAATTACACCCCCTACATATCCTTGGTGTTCATGCCCCGTACTAACGCTCCCTCATCTCTCTTCCATGGTGAGGAGGAAGAGAGAGAATGACAGTACAAATCAAACGCCAGCCAAGCAAAGGATGACCAACCTCACCCACACAATCACAAAACTCATCAAGCTCATCATTACCAACCACACACATATAGAAAACACACATATATCTGCTGTTGCAAATCTGTGATCATATCAACCTACTGACAACTGAATATCTATATAAAATTAAAACTAAACTTAGAACTGTCTAACTGGATAAAACCGTCTCAACTCGACAAGTAAAACAGCAAACAGGATGATGCATTAAACAGAGCATTTATCAAAATGTCATCAGCATTCAGCTTAAATCACTATGATTGATGCGTTTAATCCAGTGGTTCTCAAACTTTTTCAGCAGAAGGCCCCCTTGTGAAGGGTGAATCCTTTTGTGCCGCCCCCCCCCCATGAGTTTATATGGTTTCAGCGCTTCAACGGATAAAATCTTCAAGCACAGCGTGCACTGTGGTCTGCCGTCACTATATTCCATAAAGCCATATTTTATGTACGAGTCGTCAAATTTACGCAGTTTCGTTTTTTTCATGCTAGGCTCTTCTGTATTAACCTTCTCAGCTGAGACACTGCATCCTCTATCTAAAAACTTATCCATTTTAAAGAGTCTTAGCATTTATCAGCGTGTTCATTGCTAACCGTTCTGTGCACTAGTACATCAGTTTCCGTAGTGTGCTGCGTATAATTTATATTATTTTATTATGATATTATTTTTTGTATGGTTTACATAGATTGACAATCCTGATTTACATACAGGTAAAAAAAAATTATAATTTCCTAATCTAGATTTTCTATGCGGCCCCCCTAGCGCCATCTGGTGGCCCCCCCAGGGGGCCGCGGCCCCCAGTTTGAGAACCACTGGTTTAATCCATCACTACAAAGAATCCCAGATATCAAGCTGAACTCTGAAGAAAACAATAGTAGAAATTATTTATAAAAAACACCATGTGTGATGTTTTTTTTGTTTTTTTTAATCTTTTGTGAAGTCTGAGTGGATTTCCACTCAGAAATGTTGGAGTACAACATCTCATTCTCATGACATAAAGAGACATCACACGTTAGCTAACAGAATCAAACATTGGCAGGTACAATCGTCACCTTTGTGGGTGCAGGTTAAATGCTCAATTTGACTCTGATGGGATGAAAAGCTACCTTCCCTCGATCACATCAGTCCAATTTTTGGTTTATAAAATGTAAAGCAGTTGATAGGACCTAAAAGAAATTGTAAAAAATCTGTTTGTTTTGTCTCCAGCTGGTTGCATCTCAGGCCTCCAGAGAGCTGTCTCTCGATATAGCAGACAACAAATTCGATAATTATTTGCATGTTATGGCCATTGTCACTTTGTAACATTGTTATTATGTTTGATATTATACATGTAAACAGATATACTATTTACAATAACGATAATATTAGTTACACCATTAGGTAACAAGAATACACACATACACATACACATACACATACACACGCAGTGTCTCTGTGTGTGTGTGTGGGTGTGTGTGTGTGTGTGTTTAATGCTAATGTATGATAGCTAATGTATTAACTACAGTTTACGAATTTAATCTTATTATAAAAACCAATGCCAACCATTTCAACCATAATAATAGCAGCTAATGCCAATATGGTCATCAATTTACTGTGCATCTCTTGGCCAAAATTAACAATAAGAAACAACAATCTTAGAATGAGGCCATTTTCTTAGCCTCTAAGGAAAAGAAGAAAAGAAGAAACTGACATAAATGGTAAAATAACTTCCAATGTGGGCCAATATCAGCCTTGACTGCATGTGAATATCAACATCCAGACCTTCCAACAGGGAATAGCTGAGAGGGACCTGTAACGGATCCTAGTTATGATAAAATACCATATGTCCATTTTCATTAGGGAATTGGCACGGCCTTCTCTCGTTTCTTATTGCAAAGCATGGAAAATAGACGTTCACGGTAATGAGGCTACATGGACCAGTCATGAGAAATTCCTCTATATTCCCTTGCCACTCATCAAGGCCCTCACAACCTAAAATACAGGCTAATCTAGCCTTAGTGAAAAAAAAACACTGAGTGTCTAAATGTTGTACATTTCCACTTGACTGAGCGTTTGCACTCTCTGAACTTTTTTAGCAATTAATCAACATTTACTAAAGTCTTCGTTACCTATCCTTATCGGCTTTATTCATTCAACAATGTGACCTATAAAAATACGACACTGCAGGTTTTCATCAGCGTACACAATTAAAACAACTTTGTGTCATACTATAGCCAGACAATGGCAAAAACACCAATTAAAAAAAGATTGAAATGTTTGGAGAAGTTTTAACCTTGCGCAGGAACAAATGATAAGGCGCCAGGTGTGAGTAATGTTCAGGCTACACTCTCCACGCAAGGTCAACCATTGCTCTCTGATTGTGGATCATTCCGCCTGTGACATTCACGGCCATAACGAACAGCTGCATGTGCCAGAACGAAGTTTGGGTGCTAATAGAAATCATGACATTTCATGAATTATGCCAATAAAGAATGCAGCACTGATAAAAACAGTTTAACACCGACTCTCCTGCTCAAACGGGCTCTCGTCTTTCCCTCTCTCCCCTCCTTCATCACCACAGATGAGGTTTATTTTTTCCGTCCACAGTCTTTGAAATTGGACACACTGATTAGTGTGGTCTGTCAAATTAACTTTAACCACCTGTAATAACTTTATCTGCACGCACACACTGGGCTTTCTAACCCACTTATCTATTGGATTTTTTGTGATTGGAATTTAAAAAAAAAATGTTTTAGATGAAAAGGACACTGGACTAAATGAGTGTCCAAAAGCAACGCACTCATGGTGCTTCTAGGGTCACATTTTCAGACGAATTAGACAACATCTTGTTAAGAGTTAGTGCCCAGATTACAAAGCAAATCATTTTGGACCCCCGACCATTGCATAGCTAAAAAAAAAACTAAACTTTGTTTAGTCACTTATTTGAAATTTGCAGGCTTCAATGCATTCTTACAATTTTTGAACGATCAAGAAAAAAATTATTTAAAAAAAAAAAAAAAAAACTATAAAAGCCACAATAAAACAAAATAAAATATTTCCAAGGACAACAGAATTACATCAACAGTCGCATCACCATAAGAATAAAACATGCATTTTCTCTCATATCAACCTTTTTCTCCTGTCATTGCACACTTACAACCATCGCCTGCAGCATTGCGTCTCTCTGTGAACTGCATTTAAAACTATGCTGTTAAAGTAGAGTAGTTTAATGGTCACAAACAAAGGAAAAAAGTAAAGCCTATTCAAAAAAAAAAAACCCCTATTCAAAAATTGTTTATCATCTTCACCCTCCTGGAGAGGACTCTCTGTCATGTTTGCGGTACAAATGCAGACAAACAGCAGGAGAGCTCGTCGCAAACGGCATCAAACAATTAAGAGGTAGGAGAGAAAACCTGGGGCGACATGGCAATCAGTAATACATATTAATGAATGCCAGCATGCAATGCTGCTCTAGCTTGAAATCACAGGGCACGCCGCTGAGCTACACACCAAAGGGCAAGTGTCAGAGGTCAGATGTGGCAGGTGGCTAGGCTGGATAGTTCAGTGTGTGTTTGAGTATTCAGCGAGTTATCAAGCTGGCTTATCAAGTTTGAGATGTGAGTAAGAGTTTGAGGATGCCTTCCGGAGGAAAAGTGTGTTTGTGTAACCTGAGCAGGTTTCTACAAAAACTGCAAAAATATCCTGCTAAATTACATGAGTCCGAGAGAAACAGGAAAACTCTGAAGCAAGAAAACTTGACTAACATTATATATGAAATGTAATGCTGTAAACTACAAAAAATACATAAATAAATAAATAAAAGTTCCTTTAAGTTAGTACCTGACTGGGTTGCTAGTAAGTGACACTCTGAGGGAGTCCAAACAGGCAAACAGTCTCTCATCGGTGGCACCACATTTCAGTTCACTCAGAAACTCCTGAGGAGAGATCTGACTGCTGCTCCTCAAACTACCCTGTCAGAGAAAAACAGAGGGAAAAAAACATATTAGATGGTCACTAACATTGTCAAATCCTTTCGTAGACTTCGTTTTACCCCATTCAAGGAGATTGGAGCTTTAACTGCATAAGCAGCAGCTGCCCAGGGGCAGTAGCAAGATGGCTGCAGAGCAAACGTGCCTTAAAAGAGACTCAACTACACATTTACAAGATTGCGTCATTGTTTTTAAAACTTTAAAGCAACAACTTCTACATAAAGTCACAATGAATGAGCAACAAATGCCTTTTTAATTATTCTTTGAAAAGAAAATATTTTTGTGACTTACAAGCAATTATTACCCTCATTTTCAAACTACTGAATATTGATCATATTCTTCAAACTTCTTTTATTACTTTGAAAAGCTTTCACATTTGGAGAAGCCAGCAAATAAACATGACAAAATGTGTGGTTGCCGCCTGCCAAATTTGAGATTAAGAGCTCCTACAATTGACAAACAAACTCCACAAAGAGTCCTGCCTGTTTAATTACAGATTTAACAAAACTGCAATTACTAGAAATTAGTTGGCAAAACTTGTACTAAAACAAATAAGACAAAAACAAAAAATAAATGCAAATAACTATTGCACATTACAAAATGAACAAAAGTTAGTCAGCTCCCTTATTCTAATAATAGATTTGTTCTACTTATGCCATGTCAAGGTAGAACAATGATAGAAGATCAACAATAACAAAAACAAAAAAAAGTAGACAAGAAAAGTCAGGAAACCTCCATACCTCCCAATGGCGTTTAATATCCTCTAACATAAATATCTAACAGAGATTGATATTTTTGTCTTCTATTTTTGAGCCAGTAGGCCGTTTATGATGAGAGTGCGTAATATGACAGATATGACAAAAATCACATAAAACATTTACGCCCTTCCAATTTCTCATTGTTCGAGGTTCTCAAAGCCACTGCATGTTAATGAGGAAATTGATTATGTGTGATTTATCTTTCTGATTTCCTCTCTCTGAAGATGCGGAGGTGCTTTTGCTTGCTTCCACACATTTTTACACATTTCAAGTTCTCTTGCACACTGGGCTGGGCAATATACAGGTATTGAATATATGTGTGCAAGGTCACGGTTAGTAGTGGTGCAGAGTTAAAATAATTTAAGGCAAATACAATACTGTTGTTTCAAAAGCAAGATCAATCACAAAGAGCCCTTAGTGCAGGATAAACTGGGATGTTACAGTAAATCAAGTACAGTCAAGATTTCCATTTTTCTTTAAGTCATTGTAATTTTCTATACTGCAATTTAGCCATACAAGATAATTTCAGTAATGACCTTTGAGGGAACCCTTTGGAGGGAACATATAATTCATATACATTCATACATACATATTTAATTTTTACATTACAAAAGTGTTAAACCGTTTCACCTCTAGTGCATGTTGGGCAGTGTGGTTTATGTGGTCGTGTGTGACTGTATTACTTATGGTACAAACTGCAGCATCTGTTTGATTGGCAGACAGATTTTGTTTTTAACCGAGACCTGCAGCATGCTGACCAGCATCAGGCAACTCACTCCAATCAGACAAGTAAGTGATCTATATGTGCATTCAGCTGTCAGTTTTATTCTTGTGCTTCATATCTTATACACTGTTCTCTACATATACATTTTTTATTTTCTAACCAGGAATTGTTGATTCTTGCAGGCAGGACACAAACATGACCAGCGGGAGACCGACATGCAGCAGCAGCAGGTCATTACACCACAGGATCAGCCCTCCTTATCCTACCCATGGTGCACAGGGCCTGTGGGCTGCTGCCCTGACTGTCCCCTCCGCAGGAGACGGAGGTCTTAATCATCACATACAAGAGATACAGCTGCTTCCACTGAAAGACTCTCCGCCCATCCCTTGTTCTCTCTCTTTACTATCCTGTCCTTCGTTTATAGTTCTCCCTTTATCACCATGGTGACTGCTTTTTGTGACTTGAGGGAAGCAAATATTGGCTTTTTTTGCTTTCCTTCCACTTGATAGCTAAACCTTCAGCAAATCCAAGGCAAAATATCAACCCCACAACTATATCTGGGGTTTCAGAAGAGATTATGGCTGTTTAGATGTTGTTTTAAAAAATAATGAGAGTCAAAGGAAGAAAATCATTATTTTTCAAGTTTTCGTTTATCACTACAGAACCAACTTGTTTGGGATAATTCATACAAGAGAGTTTCTTTTAAAAACAGGATTTTGGTTTGTGTTCCTAGTAGTTTATCCCATTACTCCTGTTACATTTGATAGCTAAACCTTCAGCAAATCCAAGGCAAAATATCAACCCCACAACTATATCTGGGGTTTCAGAAGAGATTATGGCTGTTTAGATGTTGTTTTAAAAAATAATGAGAGTCAAAGGAAGAAAATCATTATTTTATTTATTATTTATTTTTCGTTTATCACTACAGAACCAACTTGTTTGGGATAATTCATACAAGAGAGTTTCTTTTAAAAACAGGATTTTGGTTTGTGTTCCTAGTAGTTTATCCCATTACTCCTGTTACACGTTAATTAAAAATCCTGTGGACAACAAATGATAAAAGTATAGGATAAGGGGGATGCTCGCTATGGTTGGGTATTGAAAACCAGTTCCATTTTAGAACCTGTTCCAAATTTCCAAGAACCGGGTATTCGATAAAACGTGTGCATTTCGATTCTGCTTAATGATTCCTGCGTTCGCATTTTAATGTGATTAAAAACGATTTAAGTGCAGGAATGGAAAAAACTCGCAGCGCACACGAAGAGCAAGCACGAGCAGCACAGAGAACAGAGGTCACGGTACGTGTTCCCGGTTTGTGTCCGTTCTCGAACCGTTCCGTGTATTTCCACTGTAGAAAAGGTTGTTCCTGGCCGAAACTGACTTCTTTCATATTTGCCGCCCAATATGCAGAAAACTACGTCAGTATATCATCATAAACAGTCGTTTTTGTCTTACGTGAACGTAAACAGATGAGAAAGAAAACACACATGTACAGTATTTTTAGATCTGCATGTGTTCGGTGTTAAAGAGACAGCAGTCTAATAAACGCGCTGCCTGTTATTAATGTTAATCAAAGAACAAAAGAAAATCATTCACTGATCTTGACTGAATATATTGAATAACTTTAATCTATATTTTATTTATGAAAAGAAAACTATGCAGTGTTTTTAAACTTTTAATTACCGTTTCTGTACCTGAAATTTTGTTGTATTTATTTATGATATTGCTAATTGATTTGTTTGTTCCCATCTTATTACTGACTGTTTACTTGTCTTTAACACTTTAATATTTGAAATTTATATTAATCTAGTTGTTTTTGCTGTGGTATTTTTTTTAAAAGCATAGGCAAAATTCCTCTTGCAGTGTTCTGTAGGCTGCTGATTTTTGCTCGTGTTATTCAGCTGCAACAGAATGCTTTGTAAAAAGACAAAATAAATGTTTGACATCTAAATGTTTGACTTAATTTTCTTTTATATTGGATTTTTTCATCTTATTGGAATCGATAAGAATCGGAATCGATAAGCAGAATCGGAATCGATAAAATTCAAACGATACCCAACCCTAATGCTCGCTCAGGATCAAGCCTACTCTTTGAAACCCGCGTTATCCAAACAAATCTTTAAACATGAATATGGCTCGAAGTGGCAACATCAAACAACGAGAGTCTCGCATTAAGAAGCCAAGTCATGATCTCACAGCAGAAGCTCCAATCACCTGGTGGCGTCTTCTGTCAGGAATCACAGGAACAAAGGTAAACATCCTGGAGCTTGCCCTGGGTCACAGATCGACCTTTCTGCTTTGTGCTGAGCCCTCCAAGCCTGACAACAGGCCAATTACATCAACTCTGTGCAGGTTATGACATTAATAAACCATGAAGCTAAGTTTTCTTAGGTAATTGTAGCTATCACTCCCCTTAAGGTACTGTGAACCTGATTCTCATTAGTAAGTGGTGTCATTTAGCAGACAGTTTCATACAAAGTGTTTTACAGTACACTAATTGACGAGACAGTCCCACTGAAACAACCAGGGCTAAGTGCCATGCTCAAGGGCAAAATAGTAATCGACGCAACATCAGCAACTTTTAGGTCCCTAGTGGGATCAAACCAGTAACTATTAAGCTAGCGCTACCATAATCTCAATGAAGTTTAGTGGTCTAGACCAGGGGTTTTCAACCATTACAGAACTAGTACGTGCCCCACCCAGACTCACAGTCAACCCAGGAACCTCCAGTTTTTCAAATAAGCAAATCAAATAAATATTTAAGATAAATAAATACATACATAAAAAAATACATAAATATTTAAAATAAATGCATAAATAGCGTAAAAACGTATCAAAAGGTCAAACAAATGAAAGAAAGAACTAAAAGAGCAAAAGAACTAAAGACAACGAACAAACAAATGAATTAGTGAACAAAAGAACAAATGAATGAAAAAGCAAAAGAATGTAAGAATTAAAGAAAGAACTAAAGTAAGAACAAAAGAAAGAACCAACAAACAACTCAACAAACAAATGACAAAGAACGAAAGAATGAACAAACATAAGAAAGAACAAAAAGAGTGAAAGAACTAAAAGAAATATGGTTGAAAACCCAGGGTCTATTCTCTAACTCTGTATGCACTGGCTTGGCTTGCATGAGATATCATTATCCAGAACAGTTAAATAGAAGATATTAAACGGGTCATATGATGTTGCTAAAAAGAATTGTGTATTTGGTTTAATGAAATGCGTTTATGCAGTTTAAAAAACATTATTTACCTGTGGTTTGGGTGAGGGTATGTATGTGATTTTATTATAAATCCTTTTGCCTGTTTTTCCTTTTTTTTTGGTGTTGTGAAAATTTAATAAATCATACAAAAAAAAAGTCCACATACTGTACATTATTGTTTCTCCTCTATGCCCCGCCTTTCTGAAATGTGTCGATTTTTACAAAGCTCATCGGTCTGATAAGCGAGGTGTGCACTGATTGGCCAGCTATCCAGTGCGTTGTGATTGGCCGA